AATTCGGTCTCAGCCAGATCATGTCCAGATCATGCTCCGAATGCATCCTCGGGCATAGCTCTCAGGTTCACAGTCGTGACATGGTCAAACCTTGGACTCCTGGGTGTTACTCTGGGTGTTAGGGACCGTCGGCAGGCCATAACTCGATCCATCGAACACTCATTGGGACTGGTTTGCTGACGCTCTATGAAAACATGAAAACCAGCCATCCATGTAGGCAAAAAACCCATGGATTCAGTCCAAGTTCTTTCTGGAAACCGGCCACACCTGTGTCACGGCAAAAGAGCTTTCTCCCGCCCAGGCGCCCACATGGTTGAGCCTGACCTGCTTGGGAGGCGCTGCGACGGCTGTGATTGGCTGTGGCTCATGGTGCTCATGGCACCAAAGGACCCTGGCCATGGCACCGACCCTGGCATTTCACACCGAAAATGAAGAGAACTCGAGAGGTGAATCGAAGAAAACCAACAACACCAGAGCCTGGGGGCCCCAACGACACATCGAGGCGTCCCATGGCAGTTGGACATGGCATTGATACAGTTCACCGAGTTCACCCCTTTGTGTCTGAAAGCTCTGCAGCATTTCAGAAGATTTGGGATTTCTGTAAGCATTCTTCAGGTTTCCTTTGTATGAATTCCTTACCCTCCCGCAAATCCAAAGTGACTCTCAAAAACCACCAGGTTCTAGAGAAAGATTGGTCTTCCATATCTTCCATGGGTATCCATAGTTTAATTATTCAGGGTCCTTGTTCATCTGCAGAAATGATGTCAGAAGCGGTGATCAGGATCATCCGTCAAGCCGCGGGTCGTGCGGGTCGTGCCTGGATCTCATCCGCCTTCTGGTTCACCCGCCGGAGGAGCTGAACGAAGCAACCGGCTCTCCAATGTTCCTCACCAACGTCGATGAAGAGACACTCCCCGCACGGGCAGTATACAGAGCTCCGAATGGTCTCCCTATTAGAAGGGAAATATATGGATTCCTCTGGCGAAGTCCCTCCCTCGGAAGCAGCTAGCTTAGGCATCTAGAAAATCGGGAACATCAATTCATCAGGCTTGCACAGGTTGTGGTCGTTTCGTGGTTTTTCAACCTAGGCGACGTCTCCAACATCTCTTCTGCCAACGTGCTGCATCGATGAATCCAGTCTCCAACGTGCTGAGTCTGCGACGTTCCCATCCGGGCCTCTTTTCCCGGACGCCGTTGAACCACCATCCACTCTCGACAGAGATCGGACCCGCTCCCGCCGGGCACAAAGGCTCAGTCCTTCTGCACGACGCTAATGAGATAGACCATGTCCTGCGCATGGGTGACCACTCGAGCCGTAGAATCTGGGAAACAAAAAGTGTTTTGTGATTTGAGACTTCTTCAACACTGATGGGCCAGGCTTTCCTCCGTTTAGTTTAATTGAACATTCATGTTCACTTGAATGGCAGCTCGAGAGGCTTGTTTTCTCGGGGTTGGTCACTCCAACATACTCCAACAACCTGTAAGGAAGCTTCTTATGGATCAAAATTGATCAAACTTGATCGAACCTCAAGGAGCAGCATCGGCCCAGCCAACAGGCTACACTGCTACACTGCGACACTGCGACTTCGACTGCTACAGGCTCCTGCCCCTTCGCAGGCCCCTTCAAACGCCTCAGCTGACCAGCCGGATCAAACCTGGTGACTGGTGTGCTTGTGGCAATCAACAAAAATACAGAAACTAGTAACTGAGAGTTGAGGTGGCGTCATCTTCTGCAGCTCGTTTTGAGCACTAAGCGAAAAGCAACAACAAAACCAAGCATTAAATTGCGGAGCAGGATAGCTTCCCATCCAGGTGGCCCTTGCTTTGGCCACGGTGAGCATGATATGATACAATATGATACATTGTCAACCTTCACGTGTGACAAGAAATTCCCTTCATCAACCATTTGGCAAGAGGAGGCAACTAATGGACGATAAGCATTATGGCAAGTTTCGTGACTGTAGGTGGGTCGAATCTATTTGTAGATTCTATGTAAATTGTCCTATTCCAATACAATTTCCTGACATGAAACATTGCCTGACAATGACAATGCCTAACATCTATGGGCAAACTGGCAGCACATCTCCCTTGGGCTTCTATTTGTAAGAGTTGCTTATCACCTTTCCTTCTTTGATACCTCCTGCGTTCGGGCGTGTTCGGGCGTGTTCACACTTGGTCCGCATGCAAAATGATCATCAGAATTCGCTCCGGGGTGTCACACATAGGTGACCTGTCAAAAAGCCTTGCTAGAATAATGTGGACTCTTGATTACTAAACCTCCCAATTGAATTGGAAATGCTCTTCATATGGCGGGTTTAATAAATCTACATTAATCACTGGTATACGTTGGACTCCCCACTATATCATTCGTTGGCTTTGCCATGGCCACTGCTCAACCCTAGGGCTCCAACCACCTCCTGAGGTACGGTGATTGGGGTGGGTGCCAGGGGGGGTCTAACCACCTTCTGAGGAGATGGGCCAGGAGCCCTAGGGCAAGTACCTCACCCTCATCTTCACACGTCCGCCCCTTTGCTTCACGCGTTCACTCGTCCCCTCCCAGTCAAGGCCCCGCGACTGAATTCCTTGGATCAACTCCTCCCCCCGTGACCTGCGAGTGAAGCAAGAGGCAACACGACACGGGGCATCCACGAATAATCCCAGTTGGTGGCCCGTCACACCAGTAAACAAACATAAACAAACACATAATTAAAAGACACCAAGAAACATCAAGAAACAATCTGTTCACATTTGGTGGATTGAAGAAAGCTCTTCCAAGTTGGAGATCAGCCATTATCAGTCCATTTAGCCATGTCGATATGCTTTTTCCCTCAGAATCCGGGCCCCCCAAACACCAACACATAGGGTTTGGGCACCGGGTCCGGAACCCTGCGTTTCGGTGGAGAAGGTCCGGACTTTGAAAGCAGTCACCGTCCCCCCCGTCGCCTCCCCGCTGGCATCGGCGTCTAGGAGGTGGAAGAGCTCCTCCGCCTCGTTGACTTTCAGTCCCAGCAGTGAGAGCTTGCCAATCAAGTTCGGCTGCCTGACGTTCCGGAGGTTTTGGGGCGTTTTGGTTGCGGGGTACACTCCGAGGTCGGTCGGTCAAACGGGCGGGGTGGGTGAGTTCACCAGCTATCTCAATGCGCACGAAGTCGCACTGCGTGCAGTTCGGTGCTCTAGTGAAAAGCACCTCAACCAGGACCTTCCAAGAGGTGTCTATGAATATCCTCTTAGAGGTTAAGGGGTGTCCAAGAAACACCTGTTGGAAGGTCCTGGAATTCAAACATTAAACAAGCGGATTGACATGGTGGCTTTCCTTGACCAAACATCGGCGATTGCTGAGCCCTGTGTTTGGCAAACTATGCGAACATGACAAACTTGAAATTGTAACAGCATGTTAGGACAATACACAGCTGGAATTTGTGGTATTTAGCAGAACGGCAGGAAAAGTGCACTTGTGGAGTGTCCTATGTATCTCTTACTCTGATTTATGCATATATCATTAGTTACAAATACGTAAGTTTTAACAATAGACAGTTTGTAAGTATATTATATATATTTTGACATATCTACCGACCAATTTTTCAACCTACAGTCACTCCATTTTCTACATCTTATCTTTCACCATCGCCGCGCACTCCGCTTCCACCGGCCTGATGAGCTTCTTGAACTCCTTCAACGAGAGGTTTCCACTCCCGTCCTCGACGCCGCCGCCCAGGTGCCGACGCGTCCACCGGTCCATCCGAACGCACCGGGTCTTCCATGGCGTCGGTCGAAGGGGTCGAACGGGTACCATCCAGGTAAGACGTGGAAGTGGAAGAAACATAAAGGAAAAAAAAACTGATTGTAGCGGAGACTGGCTTTAGGCTGTTTTAGCAGCAAATCAGTCCATTCCACATTCCATGTGCGATAGACAGCAAGATTTGTCCTCATCAGAGCGGTGGAAGAGGGTTGCAAGCTCCTGGATAATCATTTGCCTCAGTTGAGCGACACAAAAAGCCCATGCAATGGACACTGCAAAGGGAAGATGCAATACATGCACATACACACAAGTTTTTGGGGTGTATACGTTCAGAACGCTCCTAATACATTTACCAATGTCTTGCAGTATAGTTGACTCATAGCCCTCATCAACAGATATATGTTGGGGGGCTGCATGGCATGGTGCAGGGGAACCACGGGGAATGTAGCACTACGGCTCTGAGGAGGTGGTACCTGGCGGTGATCCGTGGTGATCCCAATGGGAGAACAGGGAGAAGAGGGGCGTCCCAAGTTCTGGCAGCAAGTGCACACAGCAGTTTCCGGATGAAAGGTCCATCAAGCTTAGTATAACCCACCTATGCCTATGCTTGGACTGAAAGGTGTTCTCAAGTAATGTTCAACCCTCGGGAAAGTAAGCTCAGTGTCCAAGACCTTTCAATATGCAGGCTTTGTGGATCTTTTTTGGTACGTCGTCAGTCTTTTAGTGTACAAATGTGTGAACTCGTTGTCATGCAATATATAACTAAGTGCCTGCATGAAAAATGCTTTTGTATGCTTTTGTACTGCTGGGTGTGCCACTCTCTAATTGCTCCTTTCCTGGTGCATTCTAAAATGTTACATACATCATATATAATTTTCTTAAACTTCTATACATATTTTTATATATACTGCACATATATATATATATATTTACTTCGTGGTACCCCAAATCTATCAGTGGTGCCGCACACCCGGGTCATTGACCGAGTCGTCCCACGGGCAGCGTCCACGGCCCAAGTCGCTCCGTCGTGGCCAGAAAGCGAGCGTTGGCTTCCTACGACCGCGACCGTCCGTCGGAAGCCGTCGTCCGGTCGCTCCATGCCGCTCCCAGTCATTAGGGATCATCACATGGTCATCACATGGCCCATTCAGGCCTTTGATTATAGCTGATTGCATCAAACGTGCGCGTTTCCACCATCTATACCAGTATACCACCCTACCATGGTGCCCCCCCTTCGGACGTTTTGTTCAGGGCTCCTGGCCTATAGCCCCCGTTTCAGTTCGGTGATTTTGCAGTGGGTGCGGGGAGGATTGAAGTATGTTGTAACGAGGTGGAGTTTTGAGGAACGTTGACAGCGAACATGTCCTGAATACGGCTTGCAGCTTGGAATCCTATAAATGCAAGGACACGGTTCCCCCCTCCACGTGAGTTCTCTCTCTCTCTCTCTCTCTCTCTCCTTGGTGTCTGTGGCCATGGTCACGATGCGCTCAATCATAATGGCCACCAAAATGTTGAAGGTGCCAAAGTTTAACAAGATGACCTCACTTCGTTTCGGGCACTTCGCGCCGGCACTTCGCGCCGCAGAGCGCCCGCTGGATCACGAGGACGAAGCTGCCACGCTGGATCTGATGGTCGTCCTTCCAGGCCCACCTAACACCCCTATTTCAACGAGTGACGCCATGCAAACAGGAGGAACACAATGAGAAACAAACAAACACATGTTATTCTATAAACATGATTATAGAACATGTATGACTCTATGACGCCGCTCGTGCTTGGCACAAGAGGTAAAATTGTACTATAGACTATAGATGTAACGGCATTTCTTTACTCAGGATCTTTTAGTATCGCCAAACGATGTTTCTCAAATCGATACGTGTGCATTCTACCTCCATGTCGCACGACCGATGCATCCGGTCGTCTCGGATCGGCGGCGAACGAGCCTTCCTGAGCCGAGCCGAACGAGGAGACCTGTTGAGCGGTGCTCCAAGGAACCGTGAGGATCAAGATCACCATGGCAAAAGGCGACCAATCCCACCTGAGGTGAAGCTCGACCGGAAGGACCGACTAACCTATCGGCGATCGGCGATCGGGACGACCGGGGCCCGGGTGCCATCCAGTCGGGTCCAGTCATACCAAACCTGAGGAGGAACCTCCTGGAGGTGTAGGGAGACTGAAGAAATACACCCAAACCTTCCAGGACCTTCAGTTCGTGACCTCTTTGGAGACTCTATAGGTGACCTCTTTGGAGTCTCTGTCTGTGACCTCATTCTAGGATCTCAAGGACAGTCACTTTGAAGGTCCTGGTTTCTCGATGGGGATCCCAGGTCACACGCCTGGCACACCCAGTTGTTATACCACGTAATACCTGCATGGCCAACACACCCGAACGCGCCACAACACATAAAGGGAGCAACAGCTCCATAGCATGCTGTCTCTGATTGCAACCATTCCGTCTCGACCCCTCCTTCACCCCAACTAAATCAACTAAATAGGCCGAAAACCAGCACAAAGAAACCTCTACGCTCGCCGTTCCATCCCTACCACAAATCTTCCACCCCACCCCCCCCCCCCACCCAATCACCCGTGCAAATACGTCCATCGATGCCAGCAAAAAAAAGCACACGAAACGAACCAAATCCTCGGTCTCGTGACATGGGCCGAGCGATCAAATCGCTCCAGCCATCCAATGTGGCGACCTGTAGCACCGTCAGCATTGAGCGGCCGACGGTTCCTGAGCGGTGCGATGGCTGCGGTGGCTGCGGTGGCTGCGGGCGGTGGGCGGGGTGAAGTGAAGCAGTGAAGGTGCCACACAGAGCTGCAGGCTTGATTTCTATCCACAATGACACACAGAGATACACATCATATATACACATCATATATGTTTGTTTTGTTATGCGCATCAACTACCACCCTCCAAGAGGTGTTTCCTGTGTTTCCAAGTTCGGTGCCCAGCAACCACCACCTGTTCGGGTCCCACGACAACACTTTTTGGAGGGTCCTGGTATAGATAGACATGATATAGAATATATTATGCTTTATGATGTTGATATCTAAAGATTCGCTATATAGCAAACATATAGTATATACATAGGCTCTAAGATGCAGCACAGGCGAGCCCTGGTTCCCCTTCATGTACGTGGTTCGCCCTTTCGGCGGGAGCTTCGGATCCTTGGGACCATCCCTGTCCCTAGGCCACTGCCACCCTCTGAGAAGGTGATGTGTTCGACACTGTTCTATAGGTGTCAGGAGGGTCCAGTCGTGTCTTCTGAGGTTCGGTACGACTGGATCCCTAGGGTGTAACACGTCGATGGTCCTCACCCGTCGCCCCCCCAAGAAGTTGGAAAAAAGAAATGGACAGCCAGTGTGGCTGGTCGATGAGTAGCGGGGAGTGTGGATCAAAACAAGTGCCTGTGCTTAACACCATTGATTCATATTGTTTCACTTCAGGGCAGCGGATGGTTCACACCGGCAGCAAAAGGAGCTTGCGATCCTGGGTGGTTTCCTACACATCCACACCACAAATGTATCTCTCTGCCAGTGCCGGGAAGTGTTGAAATACACATCCCCAACAATGCATATGTATGGAATATTCGCCCATGTTGACCCTTAAAACATCATACACATTCATAAACATATCATAATCACAACTATCCTACAGTTCAAGCAAGACTGCAACGTAAAACGGGCCCCTAAAAAACCAACCAACAAAAGAAATGGTTCCTTGTTGGGTATGTGCCATTCCCTGTAACTAGTATGTAACAGTGCCCGGTCATGGTTGTTACTTGAATAACAAAAACAATTTCTTAGGAATAGTACCGTAATACTTGCAATATATAAATCATAGTACAATATATATTACGTGAATTGTTGGGAGATCATATCTCGAACACTCTCGAACTCTTCTCCCCAGAAGGCCGGCGCTCCGTCCTCCCCGGCGTCGCGGTCAAGGAACCGGTGTACATCGGCCCGTGGTTCCAAAAGGACAGCAACAAGGGCTCCCCAGCGACCGTCGTGGTGAGGCAAATGGCCAGTGCATAGACCAAAGTGAGCACGATCAGTGTCACGATGCCCATCGTTGGGAGGGACCTGAGTCGGTCCTTTTTCTTGCCCAGACGCTCATGGACCCTCCTAAGTAGGGGCCGGACCCTCCTGAGTAGGGGTCCGGACCCTCAAATCCCTAGCGTTTTGAGGGACCAAGAGCTGTTTGGAGCGTCTGGGTGGTAGCGGCTTGCAGCTTGTATAGGCTCGCGTTACTTGGGCTCCTCATGGGTCCTTAGGCACTTGAGGAGTCATACGGAAGTACAGTATACGATACATTTAATCATTCAAAACAACAGTTTCCCAAATAAATCCACAAACTTCGAACACCTTCCGATACCTGTTTGGTTGAAGAAAGGCTTCAAGGTTTTTGACCGTGTCTTGGACATCCATCACCATCAATGGACCATCGCTCCTCGCCTACAGGAGTTGAAAAATGCTTCGACGCAGATCGAAGCCTTTCAGTACATCTGATTGGCCTTAAGTGATTTGAGTTGCGACCTCTGAACTTGAGATTCACCCACGAAGAGCCAACCACCGATCACCATGTTCAGAGCAAAAGCATGAACAACGTAGAGACGTAAACTCGATCAGCTTCCATTCAAAATGAATGGCACCATCAAGATGAACAGGTGTTCCATCTTGGACCAGTAGCGTCCGAACGCTCCGTTCGTAGCGATGCCCTTTGCTCCGAACGTAGCGTCCTTGTTGCTAGTAGTAAGGCCAGAAGCCCCTAGTAGCTTCTTGCTCCACAATCCAAAGCACTCCAATAAGCCTCCGATGATGAACCAAAGGCCTCGCGGAGCTGCGATCTGAGGACCATGTGGAACCACCCACCTTCCTTGAGGCCCATCACTACAATCGGCTTCGTTAGGACCTGGAGGTGCTTTCTTCGGGGGGCACCTATGAGCACATCTTTCAGTTTTCGCGGCATGCCCCCCCCCTGAAAGATAACAAAACTCTACAATCAGTGGGTGTTCCTCTTTTTGGATTGGGGTACCCTGCTTCTTTCTCCTTCGGGGGCCAAACTTCGAAGGAGAATTCCTTAGGTCACTTGAAAAGTCGACGCTTTGGCAGTCCCAGAGAGGAGGAGTGGCTTTAAAGATTTATTTTCCATACCAGGACACCCTAAAGGGTGTCTATTCATGGCCCCTTAGAGGTGATTCGGGGTGTCCAATAACGGCTGACGATCTTTTTTTGGATTCTTTTTGCCTCTTTTTGGGATTTTTTTTTCGTGTAGCGCTGTCACATACCGGTTTCCGTGGCAGGCACAGCACTGTGTGAACCTCGAGGTGCAGATTTCGTGGCAGGCACAGCACTTCGTGGCAAGTCCGCTGTAGAGCCGATACGTCAACAGAAGCTAGTGATCAATATGAAAACATCCCTCCGAACAAAAGCCGCCAAAAGCCAAAAGCCACCAAAAGCCAACACCCGGCAAAAGCCAGAAGCCGCCGAAAGCCAAAAGCCACCAAAAGCCAAAAGCCACCAAAAGCCAAAAGC